TTAATAGTCAGTGGTAAGTACATAAAACTAAGCAAATGACAAAACCAGACAGTTATCAACTCTCAGAAAAAAATGGAAAACACAGAAATGGAGAAGTAATAAACAGCATATTTGTAATCATTGTGATATAAACACTAGTATTTATTGAATCAAACAGATAAATATGTTGTGAGAATGGGGTGATGAAAATAGTGCATGCATATAGTGAGGACAGGCAAAAAAGGGGGGATTAAAACCTCAAATTCCATAGTGAGAAGTCAAAGACAAGGCCTAACATTGAGAAACCAAAAGGTAGATACATAATCTTATTGTTTGGTAACATGGAAGCAAATAATAAAAGAATTCTCCAAACAATTCTAAAGTGGCTGCTTTTAGCTTCTGATCTTTTATAAAACTAGATATTGCCATTATTTTTCTTCTTTTAAATTTTATTTCTTTATTGATTTAATCTTTATTGTATTTTTTTTCCATTACCATTTGGTCCCCTTAAATACCCCTCACCTCAGCAATCACCACACTGTTGTCCATGCCCATGAGTCCTTTTCCTTTTTCCTCTATCCCTCCACCCCCTTACCTCTCCCCCACCAGCTGCCATCCTCCTCTCCATCTATGAGGCTGTCCTCATGTTTCTTATTAGTTCACTTCGTTCATTTGATTCCACATATGAATGAAATCATATGGTATTTGTCTTTCTCTGACCGGCTTATTTCACTAAGCATAATATTCTCCAGGTCCATCCATACTGTTGCAAAGGGTAAGATTTTCTTCCTTTTAACAGCCAAGTAGTAGTCCATTGTTTGAATGTCCCATACTTGTTTTATCCACTCATCTACTGACGGACACAGGCTGTTTCCATATGTTGTCAATTGTAAATAACACTGCCATGAACATAGGGGTGCTTATGTTCTTTTGAATTAGTGTTTTGTGTTCTTTTGAATATATTCCCAGAAGTGGGATCACTGGGTCAAAAGGCAAATCTATTTTTAATTTTTTGATATCTCCATACTGCCTTCCACAGTGACTGCACCAATCTGCATTCATACCAGCAGTGCAAAAGGGCTGCCCTTTCTCCACATCTTCATCAGCACTTGTTGTTTGTTGATTTATTGATGATAGCCATATCAACAGGTTTGAGATGATACCTCATTGTGGTTTTACTTTGCATTTCTCTGATTATTAGTGACATTGAGCATTTTTTCATATGTCTATTGGCCATCTGCATGTCCTCTTTGGAGAAATGTCTATTCAGGTTCTTTGCATATTTTTTGAATTGGGGGGTCTTTATAAATTTTGGCTATTAACCCTTTATCAGATGTATCAGAAAATATGTTCCCCCACTCAGTGGACTGTCTTTTTATTTTGTTGATGGTTTCCTTTGCTGTGCAAAAACTTTTTAGGTAGATGTAGTCCCATTAGTTTATTTTTTTACTTGTTTCCCTTGCCTGGGGAGATATATCTGATAAAATATTGGGTACAAGCAATGTCTGAGATTGTGCTGCCTAATCAGATAAAGACACTACAAAGAAAGAAAATTATAGGTCAATGTCCCTGATGAACATAAACACTAAAATCTTCAATAAAATGTTAGCAAACTGAATACAGCAATGTATCAAAAATATCATACGCCATCATCAAGTGGGATTTATTCCAGAAATGCAAGTTTGGTACAACATTCACAAATCAATAAATAAGATTCACCACATAAACAAAATGAAGAATAAAAACCACATGATCATATCAATAGATGCAGAAAAGGCATTTGATAAAAATGCAACACAAAGTTATGATAAAAACTCTCAGCAAAATGGGATTAGAGGGAACATACCTAAACATAATAAAGGCCATATATGACCAACCCACTGCCAGCATCATACTCACTGAGCAGAAACTAAAAGTGGTCCCCTTCAGATTGGGAACAAGAGAGGGATGTCCACTTACACCTCTTTTATTCAACATAGTACTGGAAGTCCTAGCCATAGCAGTCAGACAAGAAGAATAAAAGGCATCCAAATTGGAAAGGGAGAACTAAAGCTGTCATTATTTGCAGATGACATGATACTGTACACAGAGAACCACAAAGATTCCACCAAGAAACTACTATAACTGATCAGCAAAGTAGCAGGATACAAAATTAATATTCAGAAACCAGTTGCATTTTTATATGCCAATAATGGACTAACAAAAAGGGAAATTAAGAAAACAAATCCATTCACAATTGCTTCAATTAGTATAAAATACCTAGGAATAAACCTAACCAAGGATGTAGAGGACCTGTACTTGAACAATTATTAGACACTGAAGAAAGAAAGAGAAGATACAAATAAGTGGAAGTACATACCATGTTCATGGGTAGGAAGAATTAACATCATTAAAATATCTATACTAGCCAAAGCAATCTACAGATTCAATGCAATTCCTACCAAGAATACAATGATGAATTTCACAGAACTAAAACAAGTATTTCAAAAATGTATATGGAACCACAAAAGGCCCCACATAGCAACAACGACCCTGAGAAAGAAGAACAAAGTTGGAGGGATCATGCTACCTACTATCAAACTATACTATAAGGTCATAGTAATCAAAACAGCATGGTACTGGCATAAAAACAGACACACATATCAATGGAATAGACTAGAGAGCCCAGAAATAAATCCACAACTTTATAGTCAATTAATGTTTGACAGATGGAGCAAGCACGTACAATGGGAGAAAGTTTCTTCAATAAATGGTGTTGGGAAAATTTTACAGATATGTGCAGTAAAATGAAACTAGACCACCTTCTTCCACCACACACAAGAATAAATTCAAAATACATTAAAGATTTAAATGTTTGACCCAAATCCCATTGTTTTTCATAGAGATGCTACCAGTTTATATTCCCTTGAGTCATATATGAGAGTACCCACACTATCATTTTATCAGTTCAGGTCCCCTAGGACTGATGCCAAGTCAGGGTTAGATGTACACTGAAAGTAAATTTTACTGAGATAAATGCCTGGGAAGAATAAAGGGAGGCGGGGGGAGGGAGCCTTCAGGCCACAATGCAGTTCTAACATCTGTAAGAAGGTAAGAAAAGATTGAGTAGGAAGAGCCTCAGACCACAGTACACATATATGGGTAGTCCAGAGCAAAAGTTGCTCAACAGGGGAGCTCTTCATTGATCAGGAATAGATGAATTATATTTAGTCATGTTTCGTTTCACCACCACATCTAGTCATTGGGGAAATTCTTAGCTTTGGAAAAATATGGCTTCATTGTGTAAACCACAGTAGATCAGAAAAAGCACCAGCTGTTGGTCAACTGTGTTCTGTGGTGCTGGTAAATGATCAACAACTGGGTCTACAGCAAGTCTTTTTTAAGTCTTTATTTACAGCATTTGCAGCTTCCTGAGTGTAAATACTCTACTATGGGCAGTTTCAAGTTACCACTGTGATAGTGTGATGACTCACTCAATGTTGAGTTTGAAAGAGCTGCTAACAATTGGCTTTCCCGAACCAGGAAGACACTAACTGTGTTCCATGCAGCAGGTTTTCCTGAAGGGAACCTCCTTAGCCACCATACTCACCAACCTAGTGTGTTAACAAAGATTTGATCTTAACACTGTGATAACCAAAAATAGTATGTCACTGCAATTTGTAGTTTTACTTTGTATTTTCCTTAAAATGAATGAGGTGGAGGATCTTTTGATATGTTTATATATTATACCAAATGCATTTATTATTATGAAATATACTTAATGTATTTTTTCCTATGAATTGAGCCAATCTTTTGATTATTTTTATTGAAATCTTTATGTCTATAGTTCTAAATAGTTAAAATCTTAATGTATTTTACTGCTTATTACCTCCTTATCACATGATTAGCATTTTCAAAATTAACTCCTCTCAACCATTTCCAGAGCATAAATAGGAGAGAAACAAATGTACCTTTAACAGCTTGATGTAGGTAAAATCTTTAAGTAGATTTTATGATTCCTTTTTTCCCATAAATTTTAAAGTAACAATTACAGATAGAGCATCAAAATATAATGTCTACATGCAACATTCAGGCAGATAAGTTTATTAAAATATACTTAAAGTTGATTGAGTGTAGAAAATTTATGGAGAAAAACATTTACTAAAGAAAAGTTTAGATCTACATTCCAACCCATATAAAATAACAATAACAGCAACAACAATGTAGTAGAGAATTTTCCATCTCAACAGTCTACAAGGACAGAGTAGAATCTTTAGGGAAATTAAATTTGTAGTATTTTAATTATGAACACATTTTAATAACAGATATATTCTATATTGGCTCATTTATGTATTGTTAGTTGATATTATTGGTTGCATCCTATTAGCTTGCTATAGCAAGTTGAAATTATCCACTAGTAAACTAGAGACTAAGAAGTTCTGAATGAAGTTGTCTTTTATGATATTATACATATTTTAAGTATTTTTATTGTGCAGGTAACACTGAATTAGCAGAACCTTCAATTGGACCAGACATCTACTATAATCTCTAACTACAAATTTACTTAAAATTTAAAGCAAAAGCTATAAAGAAGAAACCAAAAAGGCAAAAATTCAAGAATTGCTTTTCCAAAGAAGTTTTCTTATCTTTATGTTAATTCAATCACTGTTACCATATATGTCTAGTATATATGGTAACAAAATTCTATGGATGCATGGAGTTTTTAAATGCTCAGTTTTCCAAAGTAAATATATCTATTTAATCATCTTTCAATAAATTATCTAGTTTATAAACTGTCCCACTCCAGTGTTGCTGCTTTCCTTCTGTTCTACCTCTTCCAAACACAGCCTCCAATTCTTCCAACCACAACCTTCAACCATAGCCATTTTCCTAGTAATTAGTATTTTTAACCAGAAATCAAGTGGGGAGAGCAGATAAAAATTATTTGGTAGCAAAAAAATTTGGATTATCTACAAATTCTTTTTATCTTAATTTTCTCAAGATATGATACACAGTGCTCAAATGAAAGAGAAGACACTTACCTCATCCACATTTTCAAAGGCATTGATGATGTCGTAAGGTAAACAGGACAACAGATCAATCACAAACCAAGTTTTCAGATAATTCATCCTTATCAGCTTGGGGTCAGAAATGACCTCTCCACCAGGTCCCACAAAAGTTGTGTGAAAATTCAAAACAATGTCAACCAGAAAAATAACATCCACCACACTGTCCAGCACCAACCAGGCTATGTTGTTCTGCTTCGTTTTGAAGGAAACATTGTAAGGAACCATAATGGCGGTGTAGAAGGTAAGGATTAAAATCACCCAATCCCAAGTAGTTTTAAAAGCACAATAATGTAAAATAATGTGTGGTGGCGTCTTTGGCGCTTCTTGCTTATACTGAGGAAGGATATCTGATCCCAGCTGAAGAACCTAAAAAAGATCAAATGAATATAAATGAAATGGACAACTCTGCATAGTTAGTAATGAATTCAAACTTACTGGCAGTCAAACCAGAGTTCAGTATTTGGTAAATCTGGCTACAAACTAGAGTCATCTGAAGAAGTTTTTAAAAACACAGTACACTCATACCTAGATGCCCAGCCCAGGAAACAATTAAATTAATCTTGTGTGGGCTCTCAGAGAACCTGTATTTTCAAAAGTTTCCCAGGTGGTTATAATGTGCAGTCCAAGGTAAAAACATTACCTTCTACTTCTTTAAACTAGGTACCTATTCTTCATGCAGTACCTTTCATATGTAAAGTCATCCTAAAATGCTACAAGAGGAGAAGAAGGAGGAACAGGAAGAGGAAAAGGAAAATGGCAACAACAAAAAAAATGGGACACATGCTTAAGCTTTGCTCTTTTTCACGTTCATAACACTACTTTAATCTTGGCTCCCTTACTGGGGCTGTGTTTCTTTGTTGTTTGTTTTAAATAAATCAGTGAGTAACAACTCTTAACTTTCATTTTTACTTTCGTAAGCAATAAGCCTTATGTGGGGTAGGGGAATGAAATAATGTTTTGTGATGTATTTTCATACCAATACAGACATTCTTCCTCTCTGAATAGCAAGAGTATTGACTCATACAGAGTCAGGACCATGGACAGCAGTGTATGTGTGCCTCTACCCAGTATAGAAAGTGAGAAGCTGAAGCCAATCAGCAGGATGTCAGTGCACATGGAAAACTGGTGAATGGCCTACACAGAGACCATGATCTTTGAAACTAGGGAATCAGCGCCAAATTTAGGGCTCCAAGTGGAGTTGAGATAAAATTTATATGTCTTGGAAAAAGTAACGAGCCTGAAATTCAACAGCAAATCCAAATACCTGGGTTGAGCAAATTATATGACCCTAAGAACAATTGGAAAGACGATATCTTTGTGCTACTATGGTGCTTGTTCTGGGTCAAGCTAGATCTTTGGAGATCTAAGAGCACACACTGATTAAATGTATTGAAAACCTTGTTATTTCTGCATGTTTTCTGAAATCTAGCCTAAGACCTGATAGAAAGTAGTTTTGTATATGAATAACGTTTGTGAAGTAGGGGTGACTGATAAAGAAACTAACAATATTCAAACAATCAAAGCCAAAAAAAACAGATGAGAAGTAACAGGGATAAAATATCCTCAAAAATAAAAGTAAAAATGATGAGCTGTCCAGGGAAAACTTTCTACTTGATGTAGAGGGAAAAAACCATTCGGCTGTTAAGGTATAAAATTTTCCCCTTTATGATCCCTTTCCTCTTGTTCTTGTCCAATTGTGTTTTTTTTAAAAAAAAAGGAAATGAAAGCTCTGAATAGGGTGTAGTTAAGACCCAGAAGGAATAATGACTATAAAAGTCAGCAGTCACACAAAAACAAGCTCCTAAACTTCAGCTTGATTTACAGAAAGAAACAGACAACTCAAGACAGAAAAGGAAGTTGCTTCAAAACCAAATGGTACTTAATAACAAGCATTATTGAAAAAGAAAGGTGTATCTAATTATCTGCTTTAAATCTTGTGCCTCCTGCATATCATCTTTCTAAAATATTATGATTATCATTATGTTAATATTTAGTTATGTTAATGTCTTATTTGGGCTTTCAAAAACATGTCTGTTCATCAAAGTATTACTCTCTCCCTAAGCTAACAGGTCTATTTAGAGCAGAAAGCCATACAAGTCTCTCTGTTAGCTATAGTCTGGGAAAAAAGTGCAGAACCCTTCAAATTCAGGGAACATAATTCTTCTCTCCAAACCCAACTAATATCTTCAGCTAGTTAAGAAAGTTACTCAAGAGCTCTTCAACTCAGTTGTCTCATAATATTTTGTGAATGCCCACTAATTGTTCAGCACAGTTTTGGAACCTTGATTAGCTTGTTGGCACCTTTCATATCAGTAAGACAAATGATGATTACAGAAGACATATGAACAACAAAGCTCTGGGCTGCCTCGGAGCTCTGTCCTCATTCCTGTTCTCTCTGGTTTCAATACACTGACTCTGGGTAACATTGTCTAGCCCTTGGCTTTAACAGCCATATCCATGAAGACACCACCAACATCTGCAACTTAAACCCAAATATCCCTCTGGGGCCTGACCCATAAATATCCATTCCAATTTCCTGTCATGCACTTCAAACTTACTATATCCAAAACTGAACTCATTATCATTGCCTCTAAACTTTCTCTTCCACTTCTTATATTTGCCATTCTATTAACCAAGAGCACTCACTATTTACCTAGTTTTCCACACTAAAAACAAAGAGTTTTCCAGAGTTGTTCTAATCTATCAACAAATGTGTTGACTCTGATCTTGCTGGGTGTGCAGTCTGCCCACTTCTACTTCTGGTTCCCTTGATTAATGCTATGGTCATCTTACCAGAATGCTTACTAGAAATTCTTAATTGGTTTCCCTACCTACCTATTCAGCACTAAGCCACTATGTCAGGCAGGGGTTCTTAACCATTTTTGTGCCATGGATCTCTTTTTGTAATCTGATGAAATCTAGAGCCCTCTTCCTAGAATAAAGTTTTTAAATTAGTACAATAAAAACATGGCACTACAAAGGAAACCATTAGAACTAATATCCTTTTAAGAGGTTTTTCTGAAGCACAAATGTGATCATGTCACTTTCCCTACACATGGGACACCAACCACCACTGTTTCACTATACACCACTTTAACTTTTCCTTTCCCACCTGACTTCACCCACACTGAAGCCATACTCAAAGCCATCATACTATGTCATCTCTGAGCCTTTGCATATGCTGGCCTCCATGGTAGAAATAACCTTCTTTACCTGCCTCTTATATTTTTCCTCCAAGAACCCTTCAAATTCAGGGAACATAATTCTTCTCTCCAAACCCAACTAATATCTTCAGCTAGTTAAGAAAGTTACTCAAGAGCTCTTCAACTCACCTTTCTCCAGCAGAGCAAACTCATGCATTTAGTTTCATTTTTCTCTCAGTTGTCTCATAATATTTTTTGAATGGCCACTAATGCCCAAGATTCACTCACCTTACACACGTAGCTCTCCCCAAGTCTGCTCCTGCATGTGCTCCCACTGCACCCTGTCATAATATTCATCCCATCCTATTATTAGATTCCTCTCCTAGATTCTTAGCTCCTTGATGATAGAGTCCATTGTTTATTTAATATATACAACCTTTGCAGAGTATCAAGTACAGAGCAAACACTCAACATGTGTGCACTGCATACATAAATGGGTGAATGCATGAACTCCTATCTCATTTGCTCAAAGGACACTTCACACTCTACAGGCATCACCTGGGATGTCATGAACAACTTTCCAACATCAAAAGCAAGAGAGAATAAAAAGAAATATCTGAAATTTCTTTAATTCTACAAGAAAAAAATAAATTATCATTTAAGTATTTGTAAAATAATAGCCAACAACATCTATATTGAATCATTGGCATGGGGGGTGGGAGTGGGGAGGGAATGTACCACCACCATTACTACAGAAAGCAGAGTTTGTCTCACACTTACTTCAGCTAATCTTGAATGTTTGTGGACCACCTCTGTTTTATTCATTGGCGTAAGCTGTTGCAAAACACTTCGGCTATTTGTCAAAGCCCGTGTCAATCGAGCAAATTTTGTCCAACCTTAAAAATAAGAAAAGAAAGTCTCAGTTTTTCACACATAATCACCATTCCTGATAATATTCAAATGTCCTCAGAAATAGCATAACATCCAGGACTAATGACAATTATTAAAAGTATTTTAGTTCTATATAGACATCATATACTGGTATATCAAGTATGGCTATAAAATAGTAAGTAATTTTTATGTATGACCTTTGGGCTTTGCTCACATCTATTATACAGTTCAAATGGTCAAAGCAGCTAGTTATCCAAAAAATTCTGTGCTCCCCCTTGCATCGTACAGGATTGGTTTTGCTTCACTTGGCAAAAGTGATAAGGATGTCTTCAAATGATAGTAGCTACATGCTGACAAAACATATACTAAAATATTTCCTTGTGAACACTTCTTCTTACATTACCTGATTATTATAGTTGTATTCAATATTTGTAGAAACTTCCAAGTTAATCCTATACTTACTGAAGTGTCATATTTCTAAGACAGGTGATGTTGCACCCCTTAGTACATCTGAGTATTGGATTAAAAGACAACCTTATTTTCATCCCTTGTGTATAATAATGTTAACCCAGAAAAATCAATATAAGAATATATTGATGGAATAAGTTCAATGACACACCGAAGAATACAAATCATTAAATGGCATGTGTTCTCCATTTCCTAGGTTTAGGGCTTTCTTGTAGTTCTCAGTCTTAAACAATCAGCATTTTTCTTGAGAGCACTATACCAGCCCCCTCTCCTCACTTTCAACATATTACCTCACCAAATAAGTTACTGAAGAAACAAAAGCCATAAGAAACATGAAAGCCTTCAAGTTTCCCTCTGTCCCCTCAACCTCTACACCCACCCACACAGCACTGACTCTTACTAACACCTTCATCATCTAAGAGAATTAGAGGGACATGTAAGTGGTTTCTAGACTTTTCACTGTCACTAACGGTGCCACAGTGAATTTCTTTAGGCCTAATTCTCTGTGCTCTTGGATACATCTAGAACTACCTATGTTATTAAATTAATTAATTTGATCTGTCACCAACCCCCACTGTACAAACTTTGAAAAAGTTGAGCAACCACACCATCTAGGTCAGAGGGGAAAAAACACATCAGCAGTTCTGACTTCTCCCAGTGATACACTTACTGAGCTCACTGTTACAGAGACCTAACTGTGTGACTGATTAGTCAGCACACTTTGCTGACATTACTTAGATGTGGTCGATACAGGGTAATGTGAACAGACAGATGAATATAAAGAACCTAATACTTGTTCAGTAAGTTGTTCATGGTATTATGAGAATATTTGTTCTCCTAAAAGCTCAGGATGCCAACTCCTTCTTAATAAAACATTAGTTTAGCTCTATTGGGTTGCAATTAACCTCTTTGTCATGGACTGCTTAATCTTAAAAATAAAAGGAAGTCACAGAGGCAGTTAAATCAATCTACTAGACTGCAACACAAGATTCTAATCCATAAGAAAAAAAGCCTATGTAAACAATTATACTCTTGGCCAAAGAGACTACATGGTATAATTACTCATATTTCATCTGTTGTTTCCTCTCTAAAGAAAATCATTGGCTTCCCACAAGGGGAAGGTTGCTATTTTTGCCACTATTTTCATCCTACAGAAATTTTTTTTGTCTCAATTACTGGCACGAAGATGCCATAACTATGTGGCACAGGATATTTCACACTCTGAGTGTTTTGGCAGTTTCGGGATCTGTTTGAAAATACTACACAGTATAAATGGGTAGAGATTTGGGCCATCTCTTTTAGAACACATATGGCTAATCAACAGAATGGATTTCTTGGCTGTAATTTTTCCCCTTTGTACTATTATAAATGATGTATGGGGTACCACTGACTGTCTGAGCAATGGTTCCAAGACCTCAATATCAGGAACCAAAGATAACAAAAACACTTTGCCCCCTTTCATTATTATTAGTAAATTCTGTTGGTTCAGAACAGTACAGTTCTCTCAGAACTAGAGTATTCTCAACTTGTGCTCTATTCTTTATATTTTTTAAGTAAAAAAAGGAGAGCAGGGGGAAAAGGAGACTACCAGTAAGGTGACAATTTTGTAGGAAAAATGGAGAACACCATTAAACCCAAACAGTAAATTTCCACTGAAAAGGATGAGGCGCACCATACAATAGAGATAACACGGGATTGGGAATCAGTCCAACTTTGCCTTCAACAGTAAAATGGAGATAATAACAGTAATTTTCAGAATTACAGAAATGAGTGATAAAGACCATAAAGTTCCTGAAACACATTAACTACTTCAAAACTGGTTTCCTTCCCCTCCAATGGTTTTTGCTAACATCCATCACAGTATAAATCAAATATATTGTTGACATCATTCAGTTCCATTCACTTTAAAGACAAAAACCAATCTAGGATGAAGTTTTAGTGATCATAAAATTCATTTTGAGGAAGAGCTGCCCTCAGTTGACTGCTATCACTTTATAGTTACTATCCCAGGTATAATTTTGAAGTAAAATTCAGGACCAACCAGCTTACTCAAGTCTTTCAACCATCTGAGTTTCTTGATAAAAACACCAACAGAAGTAGGAGATTGGTATCAATTCTAACCAATTTGTCAAATCCTCAAAAGACTTGGGCTCTTGCTCCAATCACTGGCCCCTTTTCACATTAAGAAGGTAAAATGTCCTTGTTCTAAGATTAAAAGTTACATTCTGGCTTGCCAGTGTATGGATTCACTTGTCTATTCTGCATCTCCAAACACTTTTTCCAATGTCCTGGGCAGAACTTTAATTTTCTAAGTATTTCTTCAAAATTTTGCAAACAACGTCAACCTACTCTCTTGCAAGCATCCTCAACTCCCTGATGCTTTGATCCTTCTCCCTGATTGTCTAGTTTCCTGATTCTTCTCATCTTACCCACCTGACCAAATTCCAACTCTGGTTAAATCCAAATCTTCACCTACTTCTACATTTGTACACCTTTGACTAAACATGGGTGGAGTAAAACACAATCATGTTCACAGATACTAGTAAAATCATAACCACTGGCCTTAAGTAGACCTTGTGCTGCTCAACACACCTGATGGATTTCCCTTGTCCACTCTCTTCTTCACATTTATAGATTATCATTCATATCTACACCTCTCTCCTCACACCTTCAACTCTTCCTCAAGTCCTCCCCAATCTTTACTCAGTTGATAATCATGTTTCATATATTACTGAGAAAATACAAATAATTCAGAAGAAAACTTTTACTTTATACATATTTGTTTGTCTGTTCCCCCATTAGGATGTAAGGGAAGGAACTCTATTTCCAGGACATAGAATAGTGCCTGCACACAAGTGCTTGACTTGTACTTTTGGTTTTAAAAAATGGATAAAAATAGGTAAACAAGGAAAATAAAATATTCCTAGAAGAGTCATGAAAAAGCTACTGCTAAGTAACTCTGGTTAAGTAACCCAAGGCTGAATGAAAAGTAAATCTTGTCTCCAAATTCAAGTCTCTAGCCCCAATCTATTTTAATATTATGGTCTTATCTCAAAATCTCATCTGTTGTTTCCCAAAAGCTCCATGGTCCCCTTTACTCAACTTAAAAGGTTAAAAGATACTTTGGTTTGGTTTGTTTTTGTTTTGCCTAGGTTTCAAAACATGCTTTCATATACTGCTTTATAGCAATACTAAGATTACTTAATGGCATAAATATTTTACCTCTATTGAATTCTTCATATTAAATTTACAGCTTTCATGAATAATAGAAAGTAGCTCATATACACCATTCATAGTTACTTTGTGCAATTCTTTCTTCATTAACCTGTTGTGTATTTGAAAGGTATGGAGGAGTCTCAAAATAAAAGGCTATTCAAAATAATCTCTTCCTCTACAAATTCTGGCACCGAAAAGAGATAGTTTATTTCTTTCCGCAATAAGGTCTGATTTCCTATAGATTCTAATTTACATGTCTATTAAACACATAGTTCAAAATCAAGTGGTCTGAGTTGTCCGGATTGTATTCAAATGTCATTTTTTTTTTTTTGTAAAAATGGACTATGCATTTACAAGACTGTGCCTGGCAAAGAACTCTGTAATTCTGATGTGCGGATGGAGAGATGGAAGTAAAGGCAGAAAAATGGAGAGGCATTAATTTGAAAAATAAATGTCAACACTTAATATTAACACACTTTCTCCAACATCATTGTAAAATGCTGCCAAATTTCTTTTTCCATAAAGAGGCTACAAAGTTACTGACACCATCATTAATGTTCAGTAGATCAAAATTGAGAAAGTACTGTACTCATTTTGGCCAACATCAGCTGTGTCATGACATCACTTAGTGTAAATTAGAGAAAACAATAGATATCATCAGCTGTTAGCTATGGGTTTTTCATATGTGTTCCTTAACAAGCTGATGAAGTTACCCTCTATTCCTACTTTACTAAGAGTTTTTATCATGAACTGGTAGTGTTGAGTTTCATCAAATGCTTTCTACTATGCAAACAGATAGGACCATATTATGTTTATTCTGTAGCCTGTTGATATAGTGAATTACAATGATTGATTTTTAATTGAACCAGCTTTGCATATGTGGAATAAATCCCACTTGGTCATTGTGCGTAATTCTTTTAATACATTCTATTTCGTTGAGGACGTTTGCATCTATGATCATGAGAAATATTGGCATGTAATTTTCCTATCTTGTGATGTATTTTTCTGAGTTTGGTATGAGGGTAGTACTGGCCTCATAGAATGAGAAGACTTCTCTTTACTTCTGTTTTCTGGGAGAGACTGAATTTGACAACATAAACATATGCACCTGGTATTTTCTTCTTTTGTAAGTTTATTAATTATTAATTCAATTTATTTAATAGCTGTAGGACAATTTAGGTTATTTCCCCTAGTGTGAGTTCTGGCAGTTTGTCTCTTCAAGGAATTGGTCTATTTTAACTAAGTTACCAATTAAGTGGCTGTAGAGTTGTTCAAAATATTTCTTTATAATGCTTTCATTTCTATGGGATATGTTGTTATGGCCCTTCTTTAATTTCTGATACTAGTAATTTGTGTCTTCTCCATTTTTCTTGGCTAGTCTGGCTTTGTTAACTTTAATAATCTCTTCAAAGAATCACCTTTGAGTTGCAGTGATTTTCTCTGTTGTTTTTGGTTTTTTTTTACTATTGTTTTCTGTTTCATTGATTTCTGCTCTAATTTTACTTACTGTCTTCAGCTTGCTCTGGCTTAAAATGCTCTTCTTTAGCTTACTTTCCTAAGGTGGAAGCTTAGGTTATCAATTTTATGTCTTTCTTTTTTCTAATATATGCATTTAATGCTATATATTTCCCTCTAAGTGTTGCTTGTGCTGCATCCCACATATTTGATAAGTTGTATTTTTATTTTCATTTATTTCAAAATATTTTTCTAATTTACCTTAACATTTCTTCTTTGATCCATGGGCTATTTAGAAATGTATTAATTTCCAAACATTTGGGGATTTTCCAGCTATCTTTCTATTACTGATTTCTAGTTTAATTCCATTGTTGTCTAAGAGCATATTTGTTAAGATTTTTATTCTTTTAAATTTGTCAAGGTGTGTTTTATGGCCAGAATGTGATCTATCTAGTAAATGTTCCACTTAAGCTTGAGAAGACATGTATTCTGCTGCTACCGGATGGACTACTTTGAATTTTTAAACAAACAAATGAGCATTAATTAGAAGACTATTAAATTACAAATAGTATTTGAATTTATCCTAAATTTCCTAGACATTGGGTCTATGAGTAAAGGCAGAGAAACAGGTAGGACAGGTTCAAAAGTGAATGCTTTATTCATTCTTCCAGGAAATGACTAAATACACACATTTTCAAAAACATTCGCAAGTGAATTGATCTATGTCATACTTTAAATGGTTTTCACACCATAAAATTTTCCTTGCAACTTGATGCTAAAGAGAAACAAAGCAGGTAGGTAATATATATTTAATTTCATTTGCAGAAAATAAGTATAATATAATTTTTCTATAATTGTAATTACAATTGGAAAGATTAAAGCTTTTATGCCAGCTTTTAAAAAAGAGGTAAGAAAAGGCAATGTATGCCAAATATAAAAAGGAAGACATTTAATTTTTAGTCGCCTAAGAGACTGTTAAAAATAATATTTCATAAAAACTTCTAATGGTATTTGAAATTCTTCATTTATATGACAGCAATTTCTAATTTAAATATAATTAAAGAGAGTAAAACGAGATCAAAGGAGAGTAAAAGCACATGCCACTGACCACTGTATTCTATAGCAGTCTCTCTGAGTATTATAGTCAGTAAGACTCCAGTTAGAATGTTCTCACTTTCCAGATACTCTTTTGATGACAAAATTGTTTTTTACATAATCTAGCAACATCTACTCAGGAAAATCTACAACAACCAAATAAATAAAAGGTGAAGAATAACCTGAAAAAGTCAACTCATCATCCAGGGATTTATGAAACTCTTCCCTATCTCTACAGTGATTGTGAAAAACACCTTTTCCTGAGAAGAAAAAAATTATCATGTGGGTTTCTAATTTGTACTGAGAAACTCTGAGCACCATTATTTAATATCCCTGGTAGACACATGGCTTATTTTCAAAGCTCCAGTATTCTGATGTCCTAAACTTAAATCAATTTAACAAAATTCAATCAACTAATCAACTATGTTCCAACAAGACTTCACCTAAGCCATCCCACAAGTTATACTTTCGGTTTCTAAAAGTATATGCTAGAAATATATACTTTCTTTTTTTCTTCTTTTTTTTCATTTTTAAATTGTATTGTATGTCTTTTTTTAATACTTTCACTAATTTCTCACCATGTTAGAAGTTGTTAAAACTTCCATTGCATTGATTTTAAATTAGTAATGTTCTACGAAATCTCTTCCATGTCTTTTCTCAATTACTCTTATTATAATTTAAGTAACTATCATTTTAACTTATTCATTCAAAAAATATAATTGAATAAAACTGATTTGAACAAAGACTAATATGAATGTAAAACAAAATAAAGGTCATATAGTACAATTTTGTTTTCACGTTCAACCAATGGATTGTATTATAATAATAATATTTAAATGACATCCTAATTCTTAAGTATAGTAATTCCTTTGAAATTACCTTTTGTTGAATCATCCTCTATTGGCTGTTTGAACAACGTAATATCCTTGAATGTGCATAGGAACAAGACCACCTTTTCATGTTCATTTCTTATTGGTGCAATTTGCATATAAAACCAAACGGGGGTTCCTGGAAGAGAAAGCAAAGACAATAGAGTATGACAAAGCCCCAGCAATGGCTTGGTCTGCTGGCTTCTCTCTTTTCTTCAGCTGCCAACTTCTATGCCAGGAACTAGCAACAAAACAACAGCATTTTAATTGCTAAAAAGAATCCAAAAAATTTTAATTTTGTATCAACTACCAGTTGCTCAATAAATAATAAGCATCTTTTCCAACCCAAAATAGCAAAATTTGCAAGTCAAGTACAATGCAGGAGCACAAAGTCAGCCTTGCTGCTGAGGTAACGCCAGCATCACCTTTAGGCCTGGCTCCTGTCACAACAGCTGCTCTCCCTGACTTCCTGTTGAGAGCCTCACCCAATGTGACCACTCCTACAGGCTTCTCCTTGTCACCATGAGAAGTGTTTCCAATGGGCTTCAACAACAATGCCTGAGGCTCTGGTAGGTATTCTTCCAGAAGGAACATCTGAAATGCTCAGACAGACCTATAAGATACCTCTACCGTTTTGACTGCATCCCCACACCAGAGACACTTGAAGCCTGGTGGACACAGAGCTCTACCTGAAGCCTTTATACAATGTTAAAGAAAAATAATGTCCCTGGCCCTTGAGAATCTCAGGTGTCTTTATGAGCCACTGCTTCCGACCTTTCCCCTCAAAGCAGGAGGCTAGACTCTGTCACCAATTTCCTCAAACAATTGCTCCTGCAGACTTCAGAGGATAGTTTCAAAGTATTCAAGGCTTAGGTTCTGAACAAATCAGGAACTGGCACTATGTCAAATAAATATTTGAAGGCAAGAGACATGCCTTCAAAGGAGTAATTATCCATTAAATGATAAAACACTGAAGGAATATTCCATCTGAATCTAAAAGACATATTTTTCATCATATTCATTCTAAGCCACTGTGCAGCAAAGCCTCTCCAAATATTCTACCTTAAAGACATAAAGGCCTTTATAAGGATGGAATTTGAGGAGTGAACTTTATGGCTATAAATAGTCTCTAAGTGAGACTTGATAGCCTGTTAGTGGCTACCAATGAAAACCCAATGAGAAGCACCTCCATACCTGTGGCCAAAAAAAGTCACGTAATAATATCACCACATAAGGGAATTTGTCATTTAGACAAGATGAGGTAACTTAACTACCAGATTCAAGAAGTCAGAGAATTAAAGAGAAGAGATTTCTATGGGAATGTTCATGGGGATATTTTGTTTGTTTTTTCCTTTTTTTCTTTTTAAGATTTTACTTCTTTATTTTTAGAGAAAGGGCAAGAGAAAGAGAAACATCCATCAGTTGACCCTTGCATGCTCCCAGCTGGAGACCTGGCCTGCAACCAAGGCCTGTGTGCCCTGACCTGGAATCAAACCAGTAACCTTTTGGTTTGTGGGAAGATACCCAACCCACTGAGCCACACCATTAAGGGCAGAAATATTCAGTTTTGACAGCTAGGTTCTTTGCAACCCCAGGAGTCCTAGGGAAGGATATGGTCCTTTCCAAAGTGATCACAGGGTGACACAGGGACTTCGGAAACAATCATACCATCTTCCAGAGAGCCTTTTTCTTTGTTTTCTGATTCTTATTTTACACAGTGTGTCCAGGAACTGTGAGTGATGAGCACAGTTTTACAAATCACCAGACCCAGATGCCAGAGATCCATGACCTATAGCTATTCCAGCATAGTGAGTTTGAGGCCACAGCATCATAACAGAGGGAAAAGGGCATTAAACCTAAGTTGTTTTCCAAGGTCTGTCTATTAGAAATCTGAGCAGAAAGAGATGACGTTACAGCTCATATCTTTCTGTGAAAACAGCAACATTTCAAATTGTGGCATAGACTCAGAACTGTTTTTTCAAATTGCTTTCAGATATCACGGTGAACTTTTCTTCAAGTTGAAGTACAGGGCCACACTTCCCCAAGCAGGCTGTGTACTTGCTGAGTGGCTGGTGAAATAACCATATCCTGAATCTGGGCTTCAGGAGGACGAGCTATCTGGGAGGGTTAAGCAGGGAGGCTTGTAGCTGCAGGAAATTCAAGGCAGTGCCCTGCCATTATTTGGAGCGGACCCAGTCAGCACAGTTCTGCCCTTTGTGTAGACACAAAGAGCCATTTTCAATCATCATCTCAGAGCCACTGTTTCTTTGCCAACAGCAGAAACAGCCCCCTGCTAATCAGAGCAATAGGCCTGAAGAATAGAGGTTGCAAACTGAAATGTCAGTCGTGACACATGTTAAATAGGGTACCTCAATCTCCCCGCTTCCAAAATGGTGTTTAACCTAATTACTTAATGAAAGTATTGGGAGGAGGTGGCATGCAGGCATTTCCAAAACAGTTTTCTACAGACTTGCGAATTTTTCTATTAACATTTTAAGTCACAAGAATACACTCTTTTCAGTTGATGTTGAAAAGCCTTCAGCTTACTATTTACAAGATTCTTTTAAAGCTGCTGTTAAGTATAGTAGGACTCGATTATAATTCATAGGTAATATCTTTCCTTCATATTAAAGGGGAAAAAACTCAATGCAGATACTACACAGAAAGGAGAGAGGAGTTTTAATCTTTGGTACTATGGGCTCTGTCTTTTACTAGCTCTAAGAAGACATCTAAATATATATACATACTTATCTGAAAAGAACCAGACAAGCCTGTACAAAGGCCAGATAATTATTTCAAGCCATTAAAATAAAGCAGACAATCTAAATCTTCTCAAAAAGAGATGTAAAATTTAAGTTATTGCTAACATGATTTAAAGGATATAAGAAAATAGAATTTCCACCGAGGTATTTTTGACAAACTCAGAAACTATGAACTGGCTTTTGATGCTTTAAAATGAGGCAAAGATTTGTTTATTCTGCTTAAATGCCAGAGTGGAATGACCTTAGTAATATGGAGTGTTCTTAAACTATTTGCTAAACTTGAGACATTTTTCTAAGTCATTTAAGGGATAACAGTAGTATATGAAAACATAAGGGGATTTTGGCATAAGAATCTACTATGAATTATCAATATGTATGTGGGCCTGGTGAGGAAAAAAAAAAAAACATACAGCCTGACTTTTTTCTCATAGAGGGTACTGCTGATCACTTAAAATGGATCGTTTTCTAGGTGACAAGCCAACAGACATTTGGGTATGACTTCAAAGAGAAATGCCTCTCAGCTTTGATTCTACTAATAAAATGAAAGATAGGACGTTAAGACTTCCTTAGGCAAAACCACTAAAGGATATTGTTCCCATTGCCAAGTGCACTACTGGAAGCAATAACCATGGTTGTTGTCATCCCTATAATGGTCTATTAATTTAAAATGATAAATTTAAGTTTAATTTCAAATATTCCAATGGAAATAAATGTTTGAGGTAAAATGGAGAATAATGTATGCTCCACAAGACCCAACAGGCACTCACTGAACATGGAACAAGTACTTCCTGTTGAAGTTAAGCGTGTATTCCAAACTGCATCAATTTTCACTGAAGATGATAATTGGTTTTGCTATCATATACCATTAATACTGAATAAATGGGTTCAGCTTATGAAGTAACTGTTTATTTTTTTTAAAAAACTGAAAGAATGTATATTCTGCCACTTTGGGGTGAGATGGTACATTCTCACAATGGAATACTATTCAGCCATTAAAAAGAAGAAAATTTCTACCTTTTGTGACAACATGGATGCACCTGGAGAACATTATGCTAAGTGAAATAAGCCAGTCAGAGAAAGACAAGTACCATGTGATTTCATTCGTATGTGGAATCTAATGAACAAATTGAACTAACAAGCAAAACAGAGACAGACTCAGAGAGAACATGCTGACAGCTCTGAGGGACGGGGGAGGAGGGAGAAAGAGAAAAGTACTCATGTGACTGTGGGGGGTGGGGGCAAGGTAGAGGGCAGAAGTAGAAGAGGTATGGGGGGATCAATGATAATGGGAAAAAATAAACTATTTTTTTAATTTAAAATAAAAGTCAGTTTGCAAAAGCAGCAAAAAGAAATAAAAGTAAATGACTATTAAAAGAAAATGAGTTAGGAGTCTTGGCTGATGAGTGTACTAGTTGTTTTTTTGTTTGGTTGGGTTCTTCTCCCGCACTCTGGCGGAGAGTCCCTACCACGAGGCCTTAGGTTATTACACAATGAATAACTGACCACTCACAAATCTCATCCCACAAAACAGTTCATAAAAATCACTATAAATTTACCAGATATGAACGGTCTGTTCTACAATAATGACTACCTCCACTAGTTACACACTAGTTCCAGACAAGAGCCGGAGTCTAGCAAAAGGCTGTATTAATAAAGTTTCACCTCAAGTAGCTACCCTGTATTTACATTCTATCTACATATGATGTATACAAAGGTAATCACACTTACCCAGTAAAACCAATCACCTTTCACTTTAATCCATAAAAGAAATTAATAAGTTTCTCTCATTTTTAGCTGCTATCACATAACTATAAAATTGTTACCATGAGTATTAGTTACCACCTGACACAAATGCACATACACACACAAAAAAATCACATCTAAAATGCACCATGCTTTTCTTCCATTCTTCAGCAGGTTGCTTTTCATAGCCAGAATCATTTATTAATTTTGCTATCTAATTGTACTTGCATCCCTTGTCCCTGCCAAGAAAAGAAACAAAGTTTTATATTCTCTCTACACTACAGCTCAACTACCACTTACCAAAATGTAACATTAATAAAGAGTTGGTACAGCTTATTGATAATTTAGATACCTACTGTTTTTCTTGTACAGGAGAACTTCAAAGCAGTTTGACTCGTAGTTGTCAAAAGTCTGCCTGACTTTCTCAATGGTCTTCTTGTCAGTCAATTCCCCATACATAAAACTGGGGAAAAAAACAATCCATTTCAGTTTTGTGTTGCTTTTCAAATTCTACCTAAAATCATATACTTGTCTTTGTTGATTAAGTAATCAAATTTAGTTACAAAATGAAATCTTGCTCCCACAAAATGAACTAAAATACTTAAACCATATTTTGATCATGATTGTTAAACTTCTTGCTAAAAGCTAGCTTTAGAGGTTATTTCAAACTTACAGAAACAAAGAAAGCAAGAAGGAGTCCTCATTTTACACAGTTCATATACACACAGATTTCAATTACCATGGTGTAGTTAAATAACACCAGTTTCCCAACAACACCATGCAAATCTCAGTTACCATCGAATATTAACACGAATAATGGCATAAAGCTCAAACTTTGCTATTAGCTTTTCAGTCTACTAAGCTCTGGTAAATAACAGATAACACATCACAATCAGAGGCCAACTGCCTAACTTCTTCAAAGTTTGTCAGTACTGGTCACTGTGCGTCCGTTACTCAGTTCACACACAGAGGCAGAACATGTAGCTATGTTGCCTCCTTGTTTCCCAATGATAAATCCACTTGACATTTTATAAAAATGGAAGTCAAAAGCTGGAAGTAGCCATCAAAGATTTAAGTCCATCCAAAAAAAAGATCTTCATGCTGAAAGTGAATTTGATTTGAACATAAATGAGGTTATAGAAGAAATAGGTGAACGTGGGAACACTGACATGACTACCATTGAGAGACTCCATATCTGCAGCCAGAGAGACTTAGGGAAGGTGTACTTACCCACATACATCAAGGAAAGGATTAGGACAAAAGGATCAAGTTTTTCTCAAACAAAGTGACAAAAATGTTTAAAAAAACAAAACTTCACATTAAAGGAACCCTAGGAGATAGTTCACAATGTGACCATGGGAGAAAAAAGATTGAAAGTTGATTCCAACCTAGAAAAGAGTCTGACCATTTACAAGATGGGAGAAAAATGTCTTTATGTCATAAGTTATTTTACAAGAAAGCAAGAAATGTTCAAATGACTTGTGATAGTTTTTTGCAAAGAAATGAAACACTTTAGTTCTCAATGTTTCTAAGATTCTGAATTATAGTATACTAAATATTGGTTTTATAAATATTTTTATTTCTGTATATTTATAACCAACAGTAAGAGAGTTTTCAATGTTTTGACATCATTAAAGGTCAAGGAACAATCATAATTTTTTCCATTGAGTATTGAGATAGTATCATATGGTTTTAGCTTGCATGATCTTTTTTATACTCCTATATGCAACAAAGCATGAAGAATTCATATTACACTTATAATGCATTGGCATTTTCATCATTTATGAGGATTTTTAAAGATACAAACAAGTATGGCTAATAGAAGGAAAACTGAAGGAGACATACACTATTACTATGACTAAAGAAACATGTAAAACATCGATTGAAGGGCAAGCTTCTACATCTTACAAAATTTTCCTAATGTTTAAAATTATCTATTTTCCTAAAAGAAATTCACCAAAAGTCTAATAATAGTCTACCAAACAGAACTTAGTCAAGAACTACAAGCCTCTAAAACTCTATTCTCAACGCTTTCACAATCATCAGTTGTTCACCTGGTTTTGTTTTGTTTTTTTATTGTTGTTAAAGTACAGTTGTCTCCATTTTTCCCCCCAGAACTCCCCCCCGCCCCATCCACCTCCACCTCCCACCCTCAATCCTACCCCCGTTTTGGCTTTGTCCATGTGTCCTTTATACATGTTCCTTGATGACCCCTCCCCTTCTTTACGTAGTTCTGCTAGTGAGTAAAATTGTCTAAATCATTTCTTCCACCTAGAAGAAATCTATGTCACTACTTCTAGTACCTTGAACAAGTTTTTGAAGACTCAAGTATATCCTCACTATTGCTTTTGTTCCAGTTTTCAGTGAGTTAGCATGTTGGCCAGAGGCAAATCTAAGTGTGATGGGCCTAAAGCTTATACAATTTGAGGGGCCTTCTCTAAGGAAAAGAATGCAAAATTATTAACAAAATTACACACAGAACCTTGAAAGACATCCACCCATCAAATGGGCCCTTGAGGGTTAATATTTTCCTCCCTCATGGAAAAAAACTGCCCCTGAATATATCAATCTAAAAAATTTACAACTTGAAAAGTAGCTTGTTAGCGATATCCATCAAAGACCAGCAGGGTTCACTAGCAATGCCATATCACTAGAAATCAGAGTAACTTATACTGTAAGACCAATCTTATAGTATACTAAGGAGCTAGAATTCTGGAAATGAAGAAATGAAAGGAAGTAGATGATACAGACCAAAAACTGCCCAAGCAAGGTACATCCTGTGTTTTCAATTATAAGATTTCTATTTTTATTTTAAAGAGATATTTTCATTGTTGCTATAACAGTAAAATAAATGGGAATCTCAGAATAAAATAACAGATTCTAACTCCCAATCTAATAGCTAAACTAACATATGCGTTTTCAGTGCCTGCCTGACAGCTCTGGGGCAGGCAGTGGTTAGGGGGTGGAGGGATCGAGCAAGAAAGGAAAAAGGACTCACAGACAAGGGTGTGGTGATTGCAGGAGGGAGGGAGGTATAAGGAAGATAAATGGTAATGGAAAAATACAATAAAAGAAAGAAAGGAAGGAAGGAGGGAGGCAGGTAGGGAGGAAGGAAGGAAGGGGGGAAGGAGGAGAGAGAGGGAAGGAGGGAGGGGGAAGGGAGGAAGAAAGGGGGAGTGAGGAAAAGACAGACCGTTGTTTCTGTCTAAAGCCTGTATTTTAGTTCATGGAGATTTTATGAAAATACCTTGAAGGTATTGTAATTAAATTAGAATACTTCAGTGAAAAAGCACAAAGTTTCACCCTCCAAAAATAAAACATTAGTTTAATACTGCTAATAATATTCTTTACAGACAGGTAAAGTTTTTAATCAATGATTTTTTAAAATGATGATAATGATTTACTGTATTTTTAATCTAAAATCTCTTTAATAAAAAGAAAATAGGAAAAGCAGGGTAATTGAGCTAACTAAATGTTTGTGGTCCTGAGAAAAAGAAAATAAAAACCAATTTACTTCTATTACTAAATGTCAGGGTTCTATAGTTCAATAAACTAAAATATAATATGCACAACTGGCCAAAATAAAAAAGTAAAAAAAGAAAGAAAAGGTCTGTAATGTAACAAGTAACAAGGATAATAATTGTGAAAAATAAACTAATAGAAAATTAAGTTACAACTTAAAAAAAGAGACTGTTTTGAAAATTGACTGTTTCTTCTTGAAATATACCCCAAGTCTGATTCAGTTAAAATTCTGGAGAGAAGATGAAAACCTGCAATTTCTAATATAAACTACGAAAATTCCTTAATATATTTTCCATTATTTTAACCCTCCCAATGCTAAAATCTCCTAAGCTAATACAAAGGCATTTTAAGAAAAAAGTCCCAGACTATTACAATCTGAATAGTCTCTTTTAATCTGAATAGAACTTTTCTGGAGAAATAGTCTCATTTCTTACATTGTTTCACCAATATTATAAATGACTTCTACAACTGCACTGTTTATTTTATTGGAAGGGAAAATTCAACGTATAGACGCAATCTATCTCTGCTATAATACTGAGCAGTCATGATATAGCAGAATCACTGCACTTGGAGGACTGAAATTCACAGGTAAGTGGTACAGTCTCTCTGACTCTCAGTTTCCTCATCAGTAAAATGATGAGAATGTTAACATAACCCAGAGGTTGAGGATTAAAAGGATAATGCATATGAAGTTGCCAATTAGAATGCGTGGTACAATGGCCGAGTGATTACTGGAATGCTTCTTATGGGTGGGGTTAGAAGAACGCCCATTCAGCCCCAACCCCACTCCCCTGTTTCTCCAAGATTCTAGGACAGGGGTTGGGCCATGCTTGTTAATGGTCAGGGTCACTGGGTCACTGAATCTTAATGGGAGACGCACTTTATTTTGTGTGTCTTCTTTCTTTGCTAAACAATGAGGTTGAAGCATAAACTCAGCCCGGGCCTGCTCCTGGATTATCTGGCCACTTTTCTTGCCACACAACTCAGTGATTGTAAGATCTGGTCTTGAGAGTAAGGGAGATACTTTCCTCAGGCCTGGCCTAAACCCCATCCAGCTTGCCTGAACAGTTGGCAGTACATGTTTCATGCACAGTCTGCCCTAGGAAACTTCTGGGGACAGGCAACTTTGGTTTATAGTGGAACTTACTACTTATTTATTTTTTGATCCCTTGTTCTGCCATCAAAATCTCATAAACAAGCATCATTATGATACCTCATAGTAAGCATGGCTACGAATAGACTTCCAAGGGACAAAGGAAACTTACAAACTAAAAAAAAAAAAAAAAAAGTATAACACAATCATGAATTCTGCTAGCTACTTCATTCTGCTAATGGTCAAACAATGTTCCTGAACTAAAACACCGCATTCAGTCACCACTAAAAAAGAAAAATATTATCTTCAGGCTGTAGGTCATAGACTACTAGCGAATGCTTCATCACAGAAAGCACAGATTGACTTAATGCAGTTAGCTGGTAAATGTGGTCCTCAGCTCGGAACCAGCCACTGCAGTAAAACCATCGCACAGTTAATGGGAGGATGGGCTGAGATCTATAGTCCAAGGACCAAAAGAAGCCTGAGAGGAGGAATAAAAGGAGAATTTAGAAACAAATGATATCACATCTTTCAAAATCTGAAAGAGGTCGGTTTGGAATAATTCAAAGCATTACTTTATATACGTCTACTATATAGTAGATTGTAACCAAAAGGTTTCACTACCCATTAATTTAAATGGTCTTACAAGGACACAGATAAAGTCATAAGGAGTAGACACATGACATGTAATTAAGGGAATCTAGGCAATAGCCCTGGACACCTCTAAGCTTTGGAGCATGAGCATCACAGAGGCACCTCTGCTCCAACACTTCGCTTTGGGCCTCTGTGTAAAGCAGAGCCCGCAGCCAAAGGGAACCAGGCTGACTGACATCCATCATATGTAATGT